CACCAACCCCTCTCCTCTCACCCCCTGCAGCTCACAGATTGGCCCCAACACCAATCAGGACTGTGCGAGCGGGCATCTCGTGTGGGTGGTGTTACCTGCAGAGTGAGGACCACACTTCTTCCTCCTTCTGCACAGAGCCCAGTGAGGCCTCCGCCTCTCCCAGCCCTGCCCATCTATCTCCCAGGCTGTCCTGGTCTCCAAGGAAAACGGGAGGCCCTGAGCCACAGAAGTGGCATTGCAGAGGGTCACAAGCTCACAGTCCTTCCAAAGCCATGCTGCTGGTGAGTCAATGCACCCACACTGTCAAGAGGCCATTCTATTTTAAATATCAGATCAGAGCTGCGGGGTGGGTCCAGTGCCTTTGGCACACTGGGCACAAAACCAGGCTGCTCAGGCCTACTGTCCAAGAGCCCGTACTTTGGCAGAGGATGTGCTCAGGTGGGACACTGCCATGACCATCCGAAAGCCCTCCACAAGCTCCACCACCTTCTCTGCTGAGCCTGATCCCAAGGGTTGAGTCCGAGGTAGAATCTCCAGGTTACCCCTGTCCATAAGCCCCAGGCAGCACATTCCAGTGAAATTCTTGTTTTATTCTAGGGAATCTATGTGGCAAAGAGCTAATGTATGCACCCACCTTATATGTAGATATATATGTTGTATATGAACAAAAATGAGTCCCTATGGACTCTGCGATAGAGGACCTCAGCTGCGTACTTACATACTTGGGGGATCACAATTCCAGCCATCTACCTACCCAATTCCCTAGGGCCTAATCTGACAAATGAGGGCCTTTAATCCACCACATGGCCAATGGTCTCTTTGTTATAATTATTTCAAATATACGTATCAAATATATATAAAATTAGAAGAAATTGTGTATTTGCGATTTTGATTTAAAATGTGCACTAACTCAGTGAGGTCATGGGCAGCAAAAATGCAACAACGTGTACATCCTGTGTCTCGGGAGAACAGCTCAGCTCTGAAAACAGCAGCCACGTCCCCATCACTCTTTCTCACACAACTCATAGAGCCTGATCAGATTTGCCCAGTGCATTTTAGGTCTGCATCTCTGTTGCGAAATCAAAGCCAAACTCCAGATGGTCACCACTTAGCTCCACCTCCTCAAACTGGAACACCCCAGCGGCCCCTCTGAGCTTCTGTCCCCAGGACCAGCTCCCCCGCCCCTAGCCTAGCTATGGGCAGACAACCAGAGAGACTCGAAGAAACCTCACGTCTTGTTGGAAAATGGACTAGAATCCTGATTCCTGCATTAGCACATCCTAGAAATGACACTGGAAATGGCCATGTTAGCATAAGTTCTTCAGGTCATTTGATCTGCAATCTGCAAATTATCAATTTCTTTTGCTTTAGGTGATTTTATGCTACATTTTTCCCCTTGCACCCTTCTGCAGCGTTCCTTGCTCCTGCCAACTCTTCCAACACCTACCCCTCTCCACTCACCTGGACCCTTCTATACACCCCATTGCAGCTGAAGGCATCATGACACACATGTGTAAAGCTTTTTCCTATTCCGTGGTGTCTTAGACCTCTCCTAAGGATAAGACTTAATGACAAAGCCAAAGGACCTTCCACAAAACGTCTCTGCCCCTGTTTTCTAAGGGCATCTGACTAGAAGGCAGAATTGTCATTTTTTATACATTGCTGTATTTCTAACATATTCAGCTCATCGCAGCGCTCAGCTGATGCAGTCAGGTAGCACTGCCTTGGAACTAGGGAGGCAGATGCCTGCTTACACCAGTACCCGTGAGTCTGGGTTTTAAGGGTACAGCAGCCTTCTACCCTGAGTGTGCAATTTACAGAGGAGGCCTGCGGTGAACCATTTGCAGCTGTCAGGACTCAGCACCGGCTGGCCGCGGACGAGAGTGCCGTTGTGCCCTTCCTCTGCCCTTCCCCCCCTTCCCCGCTGCACTGGGACAAGGAGCTCTGCTCACCCTGCCTGCCTCAGACAGCCCCCTTCTCTACCTATCAAGCCACAGTGGATGGCAAGCACCCCCAGGACACACCTCTGGGCCACCAGGCTCCTTCACACCTCAACAGCTCGGCCAACTCCTTCTCTCAAGTCTGACTCTAGACAAACCCAAAGAATGGCCACTGGTCCTTCCGAAGGGGAATGTCTAAGAGGCAGGCCTGCAGCACGTGATGCACCATTCCGCGTGAGACTGACTCTCCCCAGCTCCCCTGGAAGGAGCACAGGGAAGTGATCTTATTGCTGTGTGAAGCCCCTTTTACACTAAATAGGTTCAGCCTCAGAATTCCACACCCAGACATCCACAGTCTCCTTCCACAAGGGTAAAATTTGCATATCAGACATAAATCACAATGGAAAACTTGATGGCTGAGGAAGTTAGAAGGAGTTGGAAAATGTCTTTGCCATTAAAGCAGTTAAAATTTAATACTGAAGGTTAATGGCTAATCACTGTCAGTAAATAATAGAAAATATGAAGTGGGTTCAGTTAGTTGAGGGAGTTAACCCGGCTGTCTTAAAATACATCTTTCTGGATGTTTTGCAAGTTATGATCAATATATTATGACCAATAAATTATTTTGTGCATAACAATGTCCCCAAGAAGTTAATGGACATCCATTATGTGTATGTAGGATGGCTCGGATAATGCTATTGCTGATTTCTGCTGGTCTACGGAAGCGGGCAGTTGATGCTTAATTTTTTTTTTCTTGTCTTGTTGAATTTCTTATAACTTTCTTTTTAGAGACAGGGTCTCGCTAGGCAGCCCCAGCCTACCCTGAGCTCACTTTGTAGCTCAGGCTGGTCTTGAACTTGCACCAGTTCTCCTGCCTCAGCTTATGATTTTTTAAAACCAATTTTACATTCTTACATCTGGTAATTTGAACAACTAATTTAAAGACATGTAATACAGCAACTATTATTGAATTCTTATTGTTCTGCATCAATGCTAATTTTTTTCTTTTACTGTTTTGTATTCTTTTTAGGTAATAATTTTTTTAAACGTCTGCTTTTACTGTAGATCATAGCTAGCAGAATAGTGTGAGTTTCTATTGAACTCTTAACTGAGCCAGAAATAACAGAAATGCTGGAGCTAATGGGAGGCATTAAAAATTAAGCAACTCAAGCACTTCCTGAAAGTTTTCCTGCCCCAATTTTCTTATCTGCAGAGTGGGAAGAGCACTCACTTCACAGGCTGTCCTCAGGAGCTGAGCCAAGGGAGACCCACAACGAGCGGCTTGGGGCTGTCACTGAGCAGCATCAGGGACTGGCTCCTCCACCCAGGACCCCAAGTGTCCCGGCCAGGGCACGGAGCACCATCACAGGTCTGGGGGTGATCAGACACCTGCTCGGCCCTCCCCTCCACCTCCGCAAGGGTGGAGGTAGATTCTCCCAACATTAAAATCCTAATAGCCTCGGACTCTAATTATGTGTCAATTAAAAGGGAATTAACAATCATCTGTGCTTGCTAAATAAACAGCCACCTATGGGAAACTGATGAGGCCCAGGAACGTGTAAACTGAGTTGGAACACAAAAGGAATACATGACAAAAAGAAATGTCTCTGAGATCACCAGCTTACTAACAAGCCACCCCACGGATGGGACGGGCACTTGGCAGTTATGAGCACTGCCCAGGTCAGGGCGTGCCGTTAGGAGGCATGGTCACGGAACACCACGGGCATTCAAACTTTTTCAAAAACGATTCAGTAAAGGGACATTGCTGCTTGCCTCTCCCATCCCAAAATACTAAACTTATTCTCCTGGTTTTGCCAAAGATATCCCATTGTTCTTGGCAATGTGTCCTTTACTGAAATAAATTATTTTTTAAAATTTATACCCTATGTCTTTACTCATTCCTTGTGTATTAGCAGCATTACTTGACACAGATCTCTGGACTCTGAAGTCTTCTACATCATTCCCAAAGGCCGCAGCTTTTGAAACTGCGGAGACCATCTCAAGATCCAGCTCTGCCTGCATAATCAGAGCCAGGTTTGAAGGGACCAACTGAGAACCTTCCTGGGCCCAGGGCAAAACAGAAATGAGGGGCCAGATGTGTTAAGAAATAAAGGTGGGCAGGGAAGATAGCTCAGCGGTGGGCAGGGAGGATAGCTCAACGATCTAAGCGCCTGCCTGGCAAGTTCAAGGATGTGAGTTCAATCCCCAGTACTGCATGCTGTGGCAGCCTTGTGCTGTGCAGGCCACAGAAGCCAGGTGTGGTGGCACATGCCTGTAATCCCAGCACTGGGGAGAGGATCACTACAAGTCTGAGCTGCATATTGAGATCCTGTCCCAAATCAATCAATAAATAAAGCTTTATGAAAAGAAATAAAGATAAGCAGTTAATTTTAAAAAATGCATGAAGAACTTCAAGACAGAAGCTGCAGAGCATTTGAGCAGGTGAAGAACCATGATGTGGTGAGGTAGACCAGTGAGCTGCCCTCTGCCCCCCAGAATACAACTTGGGGGACCCTTGGAATCTCGGAAGTGGCAGCCCAGTGTAGCTTTAGGGAGGAGGCGGTCACTGGAAAGACCATGGCAGGGCTCAGGGGTGGGACCTTAAGACCCAGGCTCCGGGGAGGAGACAAGGAGTGAAGGCCAAGTTAGTCGCCAGGGGCCAATGGCCTGCTCAGTTGTGCCTCTGTAGAGACATGTCCAGAAAGCCCCCGAAGACCAGGCTCAGAGGGGTTTGTTAGCGAGCTCGTGGACCCTGGAGTCTTCCTGCCCTTCCAGGCTGGCGGTTTCTGCATCTAGGTCCCTTCTGCTGTCTTTCCCTTGAACCAGGAAATGGAAAGAATGTTTCTCTAGGCTGGAGTTTCTCTGTGGAGGAGGCAGCTGTGGAAAAGCCAGTGTGTGGAGTGGGGGTCACGAGCACAGGCAAAGGGACCTAGCAGGGGCTGTCCTGAGGGCTTTGCTGGAATGTTCTGTCTCTGTCCTCAGACAGACCCTGTGAAGACAAGGGTGGCTGGGTGGGTAGCCCTGGGTGTCACATGGGCACACGGAGGCCGTGTCACTCACCACTGTGACCGCGTCATTTAGCAAGGACTCTCCAAAGACCAGGATGTAGAGCTGCTCATTGACGTGAATGTTCTCGAAGACAGCCAGCACAGCCACAGGGTCCACAGCGGAGATGAGGCTGCCGAAGAGCAGGTTCTGCAGCAGGGTGATGTCTCGCAGGCCGAAGGCTTCGATCTGGCAGATGCCGAACAAGGACACCCCGATGCCGATGGAATTCCAGAGCGTCCCCACCACAGCGTACCAGAAAATGGTGCCAATGTTCTCAAAGAACGGGCGAGTGGGCATGAAGTAGCCGGCATCCAGCACGATGGGGGGCAGGAGGTACAGGAAGAAGACGTCGGTTTTCATGGCTGGTGGAGATTTCTCGTCCACGCCGAAGATAATCCCACCCAGCAGGAGTCCGACCATGATGAGCAGGCAGCTCTCAGGAACGATGGTCGGCAACTTGTGGTAGAGGTGGAAGCCTGTGAGAGACGCAATGGAGACGTGGGGCTCAGATTACACAAGAATTGCACAGAAGAGACCCAGACTCCCTCGAGCAGATCTAGGGTTCCCATCTCAAATCTCAGGTGGCCTCCTTAAAATATTCTTATTTGCTTGAGTACGCCCACCCAGTGAGGACCAGGCAGGAATTGGACTTCAGGTCCCACTGAAGAGCTGTAGCTACAGGTGTCTCACCACACAGATTTTATTTTCTGTACCTTCATTAACTCTGTCCTAAATATTGGCCCCCACGGAAATGGGATAAAACAATGTAGCTTTATATTTGAAGTAACTGAACATTTCCAAGCTATTTTCAGATGTAACATTTCATTTCATCCTTACAAAAGCCCCAAGGAACTTGCAAGGGAGTTGTTTTCATCCTTTTTAAAAATTTAAGTGACAACAAGGTTCAGAGACATGCAGCGCCCCAGCACTCCTAAAAGCGTGTCGTGTGTTTATTTCTAGTTTCAGACCTGCTCTTTTGGAACACGGAGCATGTGTGCTTTTGCAGATATGGGACCCTCCCAGGGCTGCCCTGTCAACTCACTGGGAGGCCTCAGGCAGCAGGTGGGAGTTCACCGCACTCTCCAGTCTCCAAGGGCCCCATCTGGGGATGGACCATACATCTGTGATGTCTGTGACACAGGACAAAGAGGGCCCAGGCCCCAGCCATGAGCGGGGAGGACCCGGACAAGGAAGAGACAGCATCTACGCAGGCTGAAGAAGCAATGGGATGATCGGCCTTTAAGAGAAGCCCGCAACCGGGCATGAAAGCCTGACTCGAAATGGGGAATTTCCAGAAGAGGTGGAGGGGTAGCTCAGGGCAGAGGTCCTGGATCAAGCCCCTACCATGAGACAGACGGACAGACGGATGGACGGGTGGACAGACAGACTGAGACTCTTCTGCTGGCACCAGCCCTTGTCCCTTCTACCTTTTGTGGATCCAGCAAGAAAATCCTCACTGGATACCAAATATCCTTGACCTTGGACTCCCAGCATCTCAAACTATGAGAAAATAAATGCCTCTCCTGTGGAAGTTACCCAAGCAAAGCTGTTCCGCCTTAGAGGAAAAGAGGGTGAAGGCAGACGCATGTCCGAATTGTAGGGCAGTAATACTGCAGAGATAGAAGCAGTCGTAGGAATCCTCTGGCAGACATTTCAGAAACAAATCCTTGTCGCAAGGGGGACTGAAGCCCCCGCACTGAACACTTTCTTCACTTGAGCAGTGTGTCATAATACTTTGAGGGATTTAATAATTCATTTCCACATGAGAAGACACACCCTCTGCACGAGGGGTAGCGTGTGGTCTCTCTGGGGCTGGGGGCTGTAGGATTCACACCTCCAGCTGCAGCAGTGAGGCCGGGGCTATTGCTTGCCCAGGACCTCCACCACCCTTGCCCTCCCCCGCAGACAAGAAAAATACCCTCTGCAGACGCGGCTCTGCCCCCGCCCTCCGCTCTACCCACTCTGTTCCAGCCAGCGATGCGGGCTCCTCACCGCAGCCTGCCGGGCTCCCAGGATCCAAGCGTAGTCCCCTCCTTTCGGGAACACACTCCCAGCTGTGAGGTCTCTGGGCAGGGGACTCTTCTGAGCCCACCCTCCGCTCTCCGCCTGTGACAGTGGACAGATTTCCAGCATGACCAGACCTTGGGAATGCATCAGGGAAGCAAGGAAGGGCTGGGGACAGGGCACCATCCAGGTGGCTATTTGGGATGATCGCCAGGACAGTCGCTCAGGGTGCTGCATCGACGGCGGTGCCTGCAGCGTCTCAAGTGCCTCCAAGAACAGTTTCCTGTGCCTCTTCAGTAGCAAAAGCAAGGGCCAACAGTCTGAAGAAACCCACAGAGGCAGCTGGCCAAGTAGATTAGTAGATTAAAGCTCCTGCAAGCGGACGCAGAGGCCAGGAGTTTGAACCCTGGGCCTGTCATGCCTGTCCCGCTCCCGAGGCGCGTGCCTGTAATCCCAACTCTTGGGAGGCTGTAAACAGGACTAGTGGGCTATACTGGATTATTTTGCTGAATTCACGCACCTACAATATTTAAATGGCAATGGAATACCCATCTCTGACAAAACTAAACAAAAAAGGGGACACAAAGGAAGGACCATTTTGTATCTGTATATACAGTATAGTTAGGATAGATATACAGCTACTTTCTCTTAATTCAATGAGAAGAAAGATTTGTACTAATAGTATTTGAACAGGATATCATGTCTGCATCTTGTACTATGAATAATCACTATGAAGACAACAATATGCAATGTATTAATTATTGAAGCTGTCCTGCTAATAGGCTTTGAAACTGTCTCATTGCTATTTGTTTCTCAATAAAATTATTTTGAAAATATAAATAAATAAATAAATAAATAAAAGAGAATCACTACAAGACTGATCTAGTAGTGAGACCCTGAACACTCTGCAGACCCTTCCCTAAAATACAGAAAGAAAGAAAGAAAGAAAGAAAGAAAGAAAGAAAGAAAGAAAGAAAAATGCGCAGAAGCAGCGAGACAGGCTGGGCAGGAGGAAACCAGAAGAGGAGGAGGCCTTGATGGATGCTCCTGCCTGCCCTTCTTGCCTTGTTCTCTCCTCTGATCGGCCCCAGCATGGGGACCGAATGCTCTCCCAAGGATGCTGCCCCCACCCCATGTGGCAAGGACGCTCTTACTCCTAAGAGTGGATGGTGGGGGAAACCATGCCTGGAGGAGACAGAGAGTGCAGGCCACAGCCTGCCACCCCCACCTACGTGCACCTGAGGGCCACAGTCTGCCACCCCCGCCTACGTGCACCCGAAGGCCACAGCCTTCCACCCCGCCTACGTGCACTCGAGGGCCACAGCCTGCCACCCCCACCTATGTGCACCTGAGGGCCACAGTCTGCCACCCCCACCTATGTGCACCTGAGGGCCACAGCCTGCCACCCCCGCCTACGTGCTCCCGAGGGCCACAGCCTGCCTCCCCTGCCTATGTGTGCCCAAGTCTGGCTGGGTGCCAGTGGCAAACAGGAGAGCAGGTGCAACACAGGTGGCACCCAGAGGAGGCCACTGGGACAGAGGGCACAGGAGGGGATGGAGGAGGAGCCACAGTGGGGAGGAGCCTCAGAGAGAACCTCCAGGGCCCAGTACATTAGTTCATGACATCATGCATCTTTATATAGAAATATATTCCCCTTCTATGAAGACTGAAATCTTTCAAAATTCATCAGAGGGATGTACGCTCTGTCTCTTTCTCTGTGTGTATGTATCTCTCTCTCTCTCTCTCTCTCTCTCTCTCTCTCTCTTCCTCCTGTACTGGCCTTTGATCCCAGAGTGTTTGCATTGAGCTACATACTCAACCCTTTTACATTTTTACTTTTAGACAGGGTCTCTCAAAATCACTAAATTACATAGGTCAGTCGGGCTTGAATTTTCAACCTATCTGCCTCAACCTCCCACCGTGCTGAGATTACAGATGTGTGCCACCTCACACCTTTCCTGAACTAAGACATCTGTCACAGATCCTTCCCACTGCTCCTTGGCAAGAACAGATTAAGCAAAGGCTGTGCCCTGTTCTGCACTCTCTGGCAAACAGAGGCAGAGTGGCTGGTTCACGCGGTGACCCTGCCCGAGAACCAGGCCTCCAGAGTGAGCATCCACACTCCTCCAAGCTGCTGGATGGAATAATTCTCATCAGCAAGGTGATGAGGGAAAAGAGACAAACAAACAGGCTTCTTAACACCCACATTCACAGCATAAAGCAAGCACGTTGCTGACCACAGCATGCATGAGCTTGCGGGCTCCTCCAAGTATTTCTTGCAGGGCAAATGAACATGGACAGACAGAGTGTACAACTGAGGGAAGAAAATTATTGGGGGAAAAGTCTAATGAACTTTTTGATGGTCTTCACCAGGCTGAACACCCACTACGATGGGTACAGACTCCTGGGTAGCCCGGATGCAGTGTGAGAAGGTCTGAGGAGGGCCAGCTATCGCAGTGGCCAGCTTGCCCTTGCCTTCAGATGACACTGCCACTATCCTGTTCCCAAGCAGCCACAGACAGCAACAGAACCAATGAGTGTGGCTGTGATTCAGAACACAGAAACTAGAATGTCATGAGATTTCATATGTCACAAACTATTCTTCAGATTGGATGGTTTGGAAATGTGGAAGGCACACAAAGCCCCCAGGCCACAGGGTGCCAACCCTGGGTGCATCTGGGTCCTGAGATAGCGTGGGATCCACTTCCGGTTATTCCCTTCTTTGTATTTCGTGCGAATTTCTGTTTATCATGTTCGGGGCATGGCGCCTTCTGTCATTCAGTTTTTATTACTGGTGCATAAAAGCCTATCAGAGTCAGTGCTTTCAGGACTTACTATCACTTTATAATTGCAATAGAAACTGCGTGGGGATGCTAACAGGACTACGAGAGATAGACAATGAAGATTTTCCTCTCTCAGGGTGACTCTGTTTCAATTCTGTCTGTGTAATGTTCAGAGTAACTAAGTCTTCAAGCTGAAGAGCTTCGTGGAACTAAGCACCATGCGATGAACTCAGTGCATCTTTTCACTCCCTTGGCCATGACCTATTTGTCAAATTCTGGGGCAGGAGGAGAGCACAGCAGATAGCAGGACCCACAGAAGGGCAACAATGTAAAAGTCGCAATCAGAAACTGCCACCACCAAAAATGCAAACCAAGTTTGAACTCCAATGACAAAACCTCCAAACAAAAACCTCATAGTCATGGTGGACACAAAAGGGGAGAAGAAAGGAGTCGGAGGAGGGTGCCTCAGGACTGCTGCACCACCCCCCAGGGGACAAACACACAAGTGGGAGTCCATGTTCTAGATTCTATTTTATTTACTTTGTTCTACATTTTAAAGGGGCTTGAAGAAAAAATATTGATATCGATTGGATCAACAAACATTTGCCAAGTTCAGGTTAAGTACAGGGCAGGTACCTACAGGGACCAAGCAAGCACCATGCAGTGACCGGAGCTACCCAGCTGGCTCG